ATATTTTTAATCAAAAAGAGTTCAGAAGTTGATCAGGAGGTTACAGTCGGATTGATGTGTTATTTGCTGGGGTTGTATGAAAATGGCGATGGCATTGGTTTGGTGTACACCTATTAGTTCATGAACCCTTACACACGACATGAGAGTGCATTAATAAAACAGTTTCTGGGGTGAGGGGTAGGTAAGGTGATTCAAACCCTCGGGACAAGAAGAAAACCTCAGGTTCCGACTGAGGGTTTTCCTGGAATTTCATCCCGAGGGCTTCAATCATCACACCTTCACCTCATTCCCTGGGACAGATTCTATACTCATCGCCTACATTAATTCACGACTAAAAAGCACAAACAAACAACCCGTAAAAGGCCAATAAAAATCAGTGCCAATCTGAGTGATGGATGACATTTTCCTTCTAGCCCTAATTAATGTGACGTCAAAATCGCTGTACTTTTATCCTGTGATGTCGCTATAGTGATCCTGACCTATGGGTCGGATGGAATTTTTCCGGCACTGTTGGACATGGGGGATATTGGCAAAAAACAAACTATGTACTTTTATATAGACATATGTAGGCCTTATACATATACATACATAGCAGATATGGCCCATCAACTGTTTAACATATACTGATGTGTGCAAATGTGACAGCTAGGCCACGAATTAGCGGATAGACATGTGTGTGCTCTAAGACATAATTTGAGAATGACAGATCGGGGAATAAATTATAGTGCTGAAAACTAAAAACAAGCTCCATCATCACAACATTGGGTCCGACAGCTGTCCCTAACAAACCATTCAGATTTCATTGAAATGAACCGGTTGTTCTATTTGCCACGATTACCCTCATTCTCTGCCCCTATATTTTAAGAGTTCTCCAATAAATATTCATTTGCATAAAAGTACTTTGCTCTTTCTGTGTAATGGGCACAAATGCATATTTTAACAGCCTAGTCAAGTGTCTAACCTTTTTTTCTTAAAACAATTATCTTCATTTTAAAGTTCTTATTGTAAAATCTGAAGGTACAGAAAAAGACAATTTTGGATTTAATTAAATGACATTCAAACATAACATTTCAAGGAAACCAAGTTTGAATTGTCTTTTTTATAGCCGAATCAATAAAGATTTGGGGAAAAAGACTACTATTAAAACCGTTAGGCGAAAGGAGACGATTAATTTCTTTCAGCATGGTCAGCATTTGTGAAAAATTTGTCGTCAACATCAAAGAAATCAATAATCGTAAAAAAATATTTTGTATTTGATTTTCTATCCGCATGTCACAAAACTGCCCAGCGTTACTGTAGCAGCAGACATCAGTGCCTCACAGGAAATCAAAAAATGAAATTATTTGAGCGTGTAGTTTTCCCAACATGTTATACACATTGTTTGAGCATGTGGCGAATTGAACTGACCATGATTCATGGGCGTTTTTATGATAGAAAACATGACAGCATCTCGAAACGAAATTGCTGGACCACTGGAAATCAAAATAAAAACGTTACTTCAGAGGTCTGGATCCATATACGGAAGAGTAATTCCAACAATGGCTAAGTTTTTGTGTTCGACAATTCAGACAGAGCAATAAAGAAGAACTCAATTCTGTGCCGTTCGTTATCTGTCGAGAGATTCAAACGTCAATATCTCGACTATCTTCTCGGCACACAAGGGTCTACTTCGTGGACCAATGAAAGCATAAAAGGGGTGATTATATGTATATGCGGAGAAATGTGTGTGTCCCTTGTACCCTACAAACTCGCCTCCCGTTGTCTGGTATCAAATCAAGATGGTCAATGTTAGTTCTCATTGTCTTGTAAACGTGACGATTGATGTTTGTTCTAACTGTCTTGTTACAAGGCGACTGATGGTATCTTTCACCATCATGGCCTAGTAGTGTTCTTGTAGCATCGTTCACCTGAAGAAGGGTGGCTATTTTCTCTTTCTTACCTCAGTCAAAGTAACTTAGGGGATTTTCTAAAAAAAAAAAACTAGACCCTATAGTTTGGTGTTTGTGAAACAAGCATAGATCTAGTTTACAACACATTAAGTCATTCACTCTTGAAATTTCATAATGAACTATTCCAACCTTTGAATTGGAGGAGTTCAATTGTGTCTTCAGGGGTGAATGAGTTACATCTTGACCTTCATCTTTAAGTCAAAGTCAAGGGTCTAACAAATGGCAAAATAAAAAATCAAAGTTCCATAACACATGCAGCATTAATTGAATAGATAGCCTTAAGGGTCCCTGTCCAACTGCAGGCAAAACACTAGAGAGTTCCACAGTGTTTTTTTCATATGCAAAGAGTAACCTCCCCTTAATTTAATTTATTTTAGATATAACTGTATATATAATGGGCCAGGAAACTATTGGTGAGGCCTAACTAACAAATATTTGGTGTTTCTGGTAAACCTACCTACCCTAATATTTTATGCCTACCCTGAAGTTTTTAAGGCATTTTCAAAGAAGCACTGTTAAAGTCAAGATCACTCTCCAATAGAAACCATATAAAATTATTTGTTAAAATATAAATTGCTACCTACCTACCTACCCTAACTTTTTCCAACATGTTACAGGAAACACATATATTTTTTTGTATGGCCCAATCAGGTCATATAGTTAACGTGACAGTATTTTAATCAGGGGTCCAGGGTTCGAATCCCTGAGTGACAATAGCCTGTTGCACTTATTTCTGTCGGTACATAATTGATTGATTTTTCATTTTATCAATTTTTAGTCACAAAAGCTTAGCAAGATATTGGATTTCTTTTCAGAAATGAATTAATGATGCTATACTAATAACAGTTAACAATAAAGTTTCGAATTCCAAGTAACAATTTTTGCCATTTGTGCGGAAATCGTTAAAAGCTGAGTGTACGATATCATGAGCGAATGAAAACAATATCAAATTCCATACCAATTACATTGATTCTTTATTGTATTGTGAAATAGAGTTGAATATTGGAATGAAAGTTGGCAGAATACAGAAACAGATGGATGCATTTATTTATTGATTGCGTTTTGATATCTCCAAGAAATAAACCAAATAAAAACAGAGAGAAAAAATCATTTTCCCACTTCAATTACCCATTCAAAGGGTAAGAAAATCAAAGGCCATAAAACTCTTTCATAGAAATGACTCACCCCGAGAGGCAGAAAATGAAAAGTACATGTACCCTTATACCATAGATAAACATGCAATACCAATAATCTCAAATTATTCCCGTAAATGGAAACTTCAGTAAATACATCTTGTGTAATGGCCGTTATCCATGCTGCAGTTAACATCTTGTTTTATATAGATACACCGTATTTAAGTTTATGTTTCGTAAAGATTTCTTCGGCAGAAAAATCCTGTAATTCGTTACGATCACGTGATCATGACAGCCTTGATGATCGGCATTGTGGACAAACAGATTTGCTTTAAGTTGCAAATGACATCTTTACGAAATCAGTGGTATTAGTACTCCCAGAGATACAATCTTTAATATTGATTATTCCATGATATAAAAGACTTTCAAGCCGTAAAACATGATCCAATTAGAATCGGAACAGATTCACAGTTAGGGCATATAACGATGTACTGTATGTACCGCAGACTCCAAGACAGTAGTGATGTCTGAAGAAATACTAATTCAAAAACCTTGCTATGTGTTTGTTTTATCTATAGATATATATACTGGCTAAAGGTCTACATCAGCTGCATGACAAATATAATGGCTGCAGGTGCACACAGAGAATTACATGGGGGTGTTGACACAGGCATGAATTCAGCCTCAGTCATAAAATATCATATACTAAATCTTTGACTATCTTCTGCTGCAGGTAAAAAGCCTTGATGGGGATTTAATATACACTATGTTATATATATATATATATATGCTAAATTCTGTACTGTTTTCTGATGTATAAATAATAGAAACATTCATAGGCAATTCATGTTATGTACTAAATCATGTATTATCTTCTGCTGTACATAAAGTATATTGTCTTCTTATGCAGATATTAAATAGCTCTTGGATAAAGACATGTAATGTACTAAATCATGTACTGTCTTCTGTTGTAGATAAATAACTCATGTATTGTGTATACTACAACAAGGCATCAACTGACTAAGGATCATGGGTAATTTACTCTACCATAAATTTTCTTTAAAAAATATCACTGTTTCATGTTAGATTTTCACATGAGTGTTAAAAATTTCCTTCAAAACGATTTCTTCCATATTTTTTCTTGATACTCCCTTACTTTGAAGTTTGAATTATGATGCAATGGTTTATTGAATTTCTGTTTATATTCATGACAGTGCTATCCATTACCCACCCATTTATAACTATCACATTTTGCCCCCAGACCCCATATTATAGAAGGCTTAGAATCACTAGGAAACTCGACAAGGTCAATTTTACCTTAATTTTACCAAAGAAAAAGTTATGATTCTGTAAAATTCCAGCTCGAATACCCAACAGCATATATTTGTTGCATTCTCTCCTTGATATTGGTTTGAAGATTATAGATTATATTTATACATTAAAAACAAATGTAGCCACTGGGAAAATTGATTTATATGACTCAGACCTCTAGCCTATGCATTTTTTAGTTTCTCTTAATACATCACAGAATATCTCTGAAAGGATGAAATTGAAATGAGATTCATAAATATACTTTATCCTCGCTAAGCCGGAGGAGAAAATCCACATTGCCTTTGTTTTGATAATGAATACATAATAAAGAGACGGGCGTGAAATATACATGTACACCAATTCATTCTCATGGGGCTGTAATATTCTTTTTCATAAATATGCAATTTTCCGTGATTTATAGGCTTAGACCAGTTATCAGACAGTTTTATCCCCCCCCCCCCGGTTCTGCATACTGCAGGGACCATATTAGTAGTGAAGACTTACAGATCTGTCGTGCAAACACGTATTCAGCTCCCCAAGGAGGCATCAACAAATCACTTTGCAAGTTTTGAACCAATAAATATTACGCCATATACCCTTCACTTACCGTGCTCGTAACAAATGTTGCCGAGGGCTCGACAGATCTGGGTTGCCATGGTGATATCTTCTGTTGATTTGAGCATGTTCAGTAAAACAGGTACAAATCCTTTGTCAACACACTCCTTCCTCACCGGTTCTGGAAATAAATTAAATCAAAAATTATATGTAATTGATTTCATATTGTTTTCTTAAGTGTTGATTTGAGTATGTTCAGTAAAACAGGTACAAATCCTTTGTCAACACACTCCTTCCTCACCGGTTCTGGAAAATAAATTTAATTAAAAATTATATGTAATTGTTTGATTTCATATTGTTTTCTTATGTAATATGGCTTGACAATAATTTTGATGCAAGTGTATTTCGTTTATTTCCAGATTCATTTTAATTTTTGAAAAGTACATCAAGTAGGTTAACACATATTTATATATATATATATATTGTGTATATTGGAAAATTTTCATGGAGGCAAATTTTCGCCTTTCACTAGTATAATCTATTTTCGTGCAATGTTATTTCCACCCTTCATATATATTGTTACTATGTATGGTATGTAAATATGTGTTTGTTTTCACAGTCGTGATAAATTCGCCCTCATTACGCAGGGCCAAAATGACGAAAGTTAAACAGCGACGACCATTTCCTGGTATATAGAGTGTGTATAGCACTTGGTTGAGAGGTAACATAAAAAGACTTGGCAACTTCAAGCTGATAATGATTTAAGGATCCAAACACCACTGCAGGGTAAAACTAGAGAATTCCGCTATGTTTTTTTGTATATATACAGCCTCATTTTGAATATAACTGTAGCGCAATTACATGTAGGCCAGGACACTTCCGTTGACAAGACGTACAGCTAAATTGGTTAGAGCTACAGTATAAAAGTTTGAGATCCAGGGTCATTTCTGAGATGAAATATCAAAGGTTCATGTATTCAAGGTAGTAATGCTAGTAAAATAGGTTTCCATTGCAAAGTTACAGTTTTTGGCAGTGGTGCAGGGATCCTTAAATTCAAATTTGATCTATCTTAATACAGTATTATTAGCGCATGAGGCACGGTAGTCTAGTGGTAGGACGCCGGGCTACAGGAGGCACGGTAGTCTAGTGGTAGGACGCCGGGTTTGTGACCAAAAGGTTGCGGGGTCGAGATACGGCAAGGCACTTTGTGGTATCTTTGAGCAACATGCTTGACTCTGCTTGTTCCAGTCTACTCAGCTGTAAATGAGTATGTGGTTAGGCAGTACTAGAATTGTTGAATGCTAGCTAGCTGTGAGCGCCAAAATGGCAGCACCGGCTGTATGCCCTGAAGTGAGTTGAGAAAGATATTGGCTGGTTGCAAAGGCCCTATAACCACGGATAATAATTTGTGAACCGCTTTGAGACGACCTACGAACTAGGTTGTGATAAAACAGTATATAAGAACCTTCAATGATATATAAAAACCTCCAATAATCAAGTTGAACATTCACACACAATATTCCTTTATTCACAATTAAATCTTAAAAGTGTTTTAGGTACAAATTTAGTGAATAATGATGTTTAACCCTTTCACCGCTGTAAACCCTATAATGAAGCCAGGACGTATACACATCAAGATCAACAAATGGTAGAGTCTACTAAAGTGACATGGGGATGAAAGGGTTAAGGTTCTATTATAAAAAGATTTAAGTTACTTAAAGCAATTAATAATAACAAAGCATATTTGCATGAACAGATGAAGTCACTATTGGGTGAACTTAGGGGAACATTCAACAATGAATATCTAAAGTCCAACTGCAAAGTCACAATTAATAATGTATACTGTGCAAGGGCCTTGCTTTGAAAGTTAAAACATTATGCAGAGCATCTTTGCGGCCATTTTGGCCCCCAAAATTCAGCCCTAAATCCTACCAAATAAAAGAAGGTATTTTACCCGCCGTAACTCCCTCAAAATTTCCCAACCAAAAAATTCAGCCTTTTTATATATTTTTCTTTTTTTATAATTTCAGCTTGTATTGATTTTATTTGGATGAAGAATCAACATCTAATAATGCATTGGCTAAACTCATGTGTAATTCAAAGTCAGGATAAACCAGAACTATATCTTCAACTAAAGTATGGGTCCCCTGTGAAATTAAAAAAAAATGAAGTTCGAAACAAATATAGTCAGGAACAAATCTAGGATTTAGGGGAATCTACCCTTTTTTCAGATTTGGGGGAAATTGAATTTTGATACAAGGCTCTAACGTACGATGTTTTGTCCGACATACATTTGTGCAGTATATTTCAATTTATAAACAATGTTAAGCTTAAATGGTAGAATGTTTTAAATTATGGGAAGAAAATGAATATACAATGTATGCAGTATTTTAAACTGTTAGACTTTTAAGAAAAATCATATAGGGGAAATTTTTTGAAGAAAAAACTGTTATTTTCTTGATGAAAAAGATGAATTTTAATTAAAGCACACGGGGGAATTTCAAAGAACAGGGAATTCTGAAGGGGATCTACACATAAACGGAAGTGAATCAAGTCTAGATTGACCCATGGTCGTATAAGGGTCCCCTGTGAAATGTAAGAACCTGAGGTATCAAACAAAAATGTTCTACAACCCTGCTGCACTGTTTCATTATACAATCTCAAAAGTTCAATGCCGCTCAGAGATCACTTAATGGATTTTACAATGCAGACACACAAATATAAATTATTCATATGCGGTATACATCCAGTCATGCAACAGATCTGGAGAAACAAGCTAAAATGTCAGTGGAACTCTTCAATGTACACAATTCACATGTTTTTATAGGGCATGCATTTTCACATGTAATTTCTGTGGAGAGACATCTATATTTAGTCTGTTTTATAAAGGTCATTGCTTATAAATACATTTTCTAGTTCAACTTCCGGGAAGAAGAAGAAAACGTCCAAATCCATTTTAAGTCACTGTTGCATAACAAAGGGGCAACGTAGCAGTGTCGGCTAAGATCTGTAAGCTACAAGAAGATGCAGGTTCAAACTAAGCTGGTAGAAGTTAGCCACTGTTTTTGTGTCTTTGAGCACTGATTGTTACAGTCTGCCCAGCTGTACAAAGGGGTGCTATTTTACTAGGCACTAATACTGCAAAAGACTTGTGTCCTTCAACAAAGAAGAAAGCAAATTGGTCTGCTGAAACCATGCAGATCAAAGTCCAGCTCTAGGGCCATACCAGGCCACTTAATTGTTGTAGACTTAAAAACATACAACTTCTGTCAGTTTTTATTTTGCATTTTTGTTATGGTATATAATAAGTCCTCGAAACAGCAGCTATGGTCTTATGAAAAATGGAATAACCTAGGGAGAATCTGCCAAAAAGAATGAATACAAAATTGAGAAATAGAAAAAAATATAGATCCCAAATGTTGTAATAGGGGCAGCAGATCATCGTTTCTTCATCGTAGACAGAAAAAGGGGGCTCACATGTAAGTTGCATCTAAAGATATAATGAAGTGGGATGCATAAGGCTTTTTTTTGTTCCCTGAAATTTCAGTCGATTCATATATTCTCATGAATGGTTTCTATAGGAAATGGTCCTAATATATAACAGTGTTAATGTCCTTTAAAAGCAAAATAACTGCTTTTGCCCATTTAACTGAACATTCCGCTTGTTAGTGACCATATAGTGTCCAATGAAAGCTGGGATGTCATCATGCAAAAGAATTTAGTTACCGGTCATGTACTCTTCTTGGAAGAGTTCTTCCGACCTTCAAGAGACAGAAGAAAATATTTCTCTGCGAATAAAAAGCTATGTAGCAATCTTATAAAAAAAAAAGAGGAAGAAGATGAATCCATACTCAAATGGCCAAAGGTCATTCTTGAGAAAACAGAACATATATATATATATATATATAGAAAGCTATGTAGAGAAGTATACATTAATGAATATGCATGCTTACCACTTTTGGCCAGTTCGGCAAGAACCATGATGACTTTCAGCTGAAGGTCAGTTGTCCCTTGTGTTAGATTTTTGTAGAGCTCGGTGAGAACGCCACATTCCACAAATCCATGAGTATGGCTGTCAAGGTCCTCTGTTAAAACCATGTATATCAATAATCAATATGATGAACTATCCAGTGTTAAACACAACACAAAACAAAATTTAAAACAAATGATAGAAAAGATGATACAATATAGACTTGTGAAGTAGATATTTCTTCAGTGAAACAGAAAGTTACACGATATAATTATTTTATGGTGCATGTGAATTGCAGTAAATGTTTCTTATATGGAAGCAGGCGCGGTACCTTTTAGAATTGTTTTTGAACTGCTGTCTTTCAAATTAAAAAAAAAAATCCACAATATTTAGGATTCAAAACAGGAGATAATTGAAGAATTTCAGAAATATCATTACATTTTTTTTTTAATAAAGATTATAAAAATTCCTTATTCTTCTGGCCAAATTTACATAATTTATAAATGGATAAAATGACTGGATTATGTTTGTTTGATATTGTCACTTACCTCCACTGAATTTTTGGAGAAATGATAGCACTGCGTCCAGACTGGGCAGCAGATCTTCGTGAGTGGTGGACATCTGTAGATTCTCCAGGAGAGCCAATGCCTCAGAGTATCCTTCAGGTTCAGCTGAAAGGAGAAGATTAATTAAACTTAAAATACATTTTTTGGGGGATTTTTTTTTTTATGTCTAATCCAAATCTTACACGAATTGTCCCTTTGACCACTGCACTAAAAGTGTGATGTAAAAAATCTTTCACAAATTATACCTCACTTTTTTTAAAAATCAGCTCTCCAGATTGTGATCGAGGGAATCTAGAACAAATTATTTTTTGTTATTGAACTGCTATGATTATCTAGTTACTGTTTAAAAGAAAGAATTTCTGAATGTTGGATGTGATATTGGATAGATGTAATTTTAAATTTTAAATATCTTTTATATTTAAAGTTGTGGGTACCTGTTATACGTCATGTAAGGTGACAGTAGCCAAATCGGATCACCAAACCATCATTTTATTAAATCATTGAAACATCTGAGGAGGAATTATATTCATTTATGGTTGTATCAAAGGAAGAATATCGATGGGTGTTCTTACCAACGAAATTAGCACCCGGGGCTCACTTGAGATATTTATAGAACGCTCTGAGGTCACCAATCAGTGTCTCTGGTTTTTGTGAATGTCAGGACCCAAATCAGATCAAGGCTTGAATTTTGCAGTATCTTACGCTTCAAATGAATATTTTTTTGTCAGCATATTAACATTTTATGATGACCTTTAGAATTTATATGAAAACAAGTATTTCTAAAGTGTGAATTTATTCCTATAGTCCAAAACAGAATGCATAGTCGTTGCAAGAACCATTTTTTTAAAAACACTGACATTTGAGTTTGAATTACGTTTTCTTGTGCTATTTGAACTTAAAAACTAATCATCTGTAGACAGAAAATGGTGCATGCATGGCTATTTATTCTAAGAGTACATCATTGTTATAACTGATGTGTTCACACATTTATTTATTTATATGCATTTTTGCAAAAAGTGTACTGATTTGGGTACTGATCCAATTTGCGTATTGCCTCCTTAAGCGTTCAATGACAGTTGAAAAATATCAGATGTAATAATTAATCATTACCAAGTATAAATGAGCTTGAATTGTTTCAATACAAATGTAAATAAACAACCCTTTATTTAAATTCAACTTTACATATAGTCTAATAACTTAATAAATAATATTATTTTGTTAAATTAAAAAGATCCTTTCTAATTCCATAATTAAATTGCAATCAATAATCAAATTTGTTTCCCGAAGCAGGTGTAAATATTTATATGACAATCAAGTTTCATTTCCTTTTTTATTCCTACTTCAGCTTCAAAATATTAGAAATCTTTTTCTAATAATAAAAGTGATGTTCATATTGACAGTATCTGACTTAACTGTATGCATTTTTACATAATTGTGAGAAAACATGTGATCGCATTTTTCTTACAAAAATGTGTTGTCTGGATATTTTAAAGTTTGTTCAAAAACCAACTTCACGATGAGCGGCATCCTAGCAGCATAATGAAATATTACTGCCAAGTCATGTGTAAAAATTCAATTTCGTTTTCTAATAATCCCGAACGTAAGCGAAAATACGGGTCATGCCAGTAACTTGCTCGACATCCTTACCCATTGTTGATGTTGATATCGGTGTCCCTTCCTCTCTAACTTCAATGGAATACACAAAATTACTGAGTCCGAAATAGTATCGTGGTCTATATCAGCGCTGCCATGACACCGGATATCATAAAAGTACAACTTCCGCAACAAATTCACACCCTAATAATACAGTCGTAATCCTGCTATAACACAAACGAAAGGAAAACACTTTAAGAGCAAAGCAAAATGTTTGTAGCGGTTTCAGTAAATCACCGCTAGCTTGAACTAGATTCTTTTTATGAATTCTGTGCTGTAGTAATATATCAAGTCTTCCGTTTCCTTAACCAGTACGTCGAGTTAACTCGTTTCACGAGAAAAGTACATGCACATTAATAATTAAAAAATGATAAAACATGCTAAACAAGTGATTTCCTGCTTCTATATTTAGGAAAACGACGGTCCCTAAATTTAGATCTTTGCAACTCGACAGGGTTTTTGATCATTTCCGACAATTTCTATTTTTGTATTAATTGTTTTCAAAATGTTTGTTGAAAGTCAATTTTGAGTTACTTTGGCTATTTTATGTACTTTTGTTGATAAGTAGTTGAACGATACACATGGATTTTCAAACACCGTATCATATCTATTTTTAGAATCGGGCACCCCCTACGGCCCAGTGATGTGTATTTCGTTTCCTGGCACGAGCTGGGATTATCCCCGACGGGTTTGAAGCGTATATTTCATGGCGGTTTCGGTGAACTCGGGATGTCTTTCACCGTAGTTTTGAAGGGTGGACCACCCTGGGGATTTAGAATCCAGGGTGGATTAGAGTATGAGGAACCCATAAAAATAGCCAAGGTAAGTTACAAATTTATTTTAGGGAGGAAAAACATCAATTGTTTGCAGTCATAAAACTTTTGACTTGCTGTGTATTCCATATCAACCTCTGAGTCTGAGAGAGTTCCAACTTTAAAACCCGAATGCGAGTGGAACTTCGTTGGAAAAAAAATATCGGTGAAATATTTCATTATTTTGGACGCAGTTTATTACTGTAATGTCTCGTCTGGACATAGCTACGCTATATTTATGGAACATATTTTATCATGTGTTTTTAACTTTTTTTGTGACGAAAGTAAGTCCAATTTGATGGTTCAGTAATCCAGCAAAGAGCAACTTCCTACAAAACAGCTGTGAAGTCCCGAAGCCTGCAGCCAAATCTATCATCCTGCCTGTAGCTTTTAGCAGTCAACGCCCAACTGTTATCACTAAAATGTTTATAAATTTTGCTTCTTAGTTTAATTATCTATTAAACAATGTTAAAAATTTCATCATTTAAATTTAAATCACTGGCAAATGTTTTTTCTAGTAGAGTAGCCTACTGAATCTGAAAATAAATTTGTGAGCTGCTTTGGATTATGATACTGATAGATCAATTTGTCATAAAAACAAATAATTGTACATTACCTCTGGTCAAAGGATATTTTATGTTATCTCAGTGATTCTGGGGTAAATTTGATAGTGTTCATTTTGAGAGAAACTACTAAAGTAGATGTTTTAGTAAAATTAAAAAACGTAGGGCCAACTGAAGTCAACTTGGGCTGTTGAACTTTTATAAGTTGTATGGAATTTTGTAATCAAATATCAAATGATGTTACTTGTAAATGTGCTGCGTATATTCCCAGCTTACGAGGCAGTTATCAAGTTTAACCATCAAATTGTGTATAGGCATTCATACTGTACAAATACAGTATATTTATATTCAGAGATAATAATCTTTGGGAGATAGAATGGGGTTCATGTGTCCTAAACATAAAAAAATAACTAGATCAACATGTCAGCGACTTAGCATGTATATATATATGCATGATCATTATCTTTTAATTGATTCGTTATCAGCGTTTTAGTGTTTAATATTTGCGTATTAAAAATTACTATCAAATTCTCTCTGGATCAAAATTAATATGAGGAATAATATCTAAAACATATATACCGGTATGTATCATTGCAGTATAAAGATAATTTTCTCCTTCAAATTTAAATCTTATAAATACTGTAATTTTGTTTGCAGTCTGAAGTTTAAAGCTTGCAAGGCTTACAATGACGCCCAATAGTATTAGGGTTGTACGCTACAGTTGGTTTACATGTACTGTAGCTATATATATATAGCTTAATTATGTGGAAATCTATGTGATCAGAAAAATATACATATGCAATTTTATTGTCATGTAATAAATTAGCCCACCCCCTACTTGAAGTCATAACTTATGTGTTGGTCTCCTGGGCATATTGTAGGATAAATACAGTAATTGACTTTATTTTGTCTTTAAAAACTTTGCTTCTCCGCAAAAATCCATCTTTGATTGGTCTGAAGATCTGCCGTTGTTAAAGAATATGGATCTTGTCAGACTCATTCGACATACATACAGATATCAATATTTAGTGTATGAAATATATTCGTTACGTAATTACATATTTAAATATTGGCAGTGTTTGACATTATTTGGTTTGATCAGAAAGTTTATTTTCATACCATTGGCCGATGGTAAAGAAAAGATCTTTTAAACTTTTCTGTTTGATATTTTGGTATATAGCGTAATTGCCAGAAACAGGCTGGCATACATGTGTGGTATGATTCTCCTGTGTGCCCTTGAGCACTTAAAAGTCTGCAAGATTCAGGTATAGGATAGATTCTGGAGAAAAGCCATTCAGACTGACAGATAAATATTGAAAAGTTTCTCATTTTAAATATCAATAATTGTATTAAGGCATTACATTTAGGGCCGCACACAGATAGGGGAAACTTGTCGCCCCAAGCTCAAACACTGGTAACGGTTTAGATTATTAGATGTATCAGGAATGCACTGGGTTTCTGGGAAAGACTGACTGCACGTGGTTGATAAAAGATGAATGTGATCTGGTGAAACAGTTTGTACATGTAGCTTGGATAATGACGTTCATTCGTGATATCTGATGAAAGGATTAAAGATGTTCATAACGATTACTGACAGCCCAGGCATTCCCAGGTAGATGGTAGCATGATCTGAGGGTACAAGCCCGACCTACGCAGGTCTACTATATATATATATATATATATATATATATATGTACACAACAGTCGCATTTATATGTACGATGAACGTAAATAATTAAGTCAGACTCAGAACTAAGGAAGTTTACACAAGATGTCTTCACAATAATTCAAGAGTAAAAGTGAAAAGAAGAATAGCACTCATGAAAATTAAAATATACTTTAAGGAAACAAAGCTTCAGGAATTGCTACTCTTCTGGGCTTTTTTTTTCATTTATTAAAAACTTTTGACAAGAAATTATGCTAATGCAGATAGATGGCACTTAATTACTTTGCTCATTTCGATACTTAATTTATCTTTCTAATTTTATGCAAAAGAGGGCGGTGAATTTGTGAACAAATATTTGTGAAAAATGAACCATGCAAATTTAGAGTATTAACTCATTCACCCCTGAAGACACATTTGAACCCTTCCAATTCCAAGGTTGGAATAGTTCATTATGAAATTTCAGGTGTGAATGAGTTAGGCTGGTTGAGCAAAATTTAAACCCTAAGAGTTTGTTCAGAGAGCAAAAACAATGAAAGTTTGATATCATTTAAAATTGCTGCAATCGTTAGATTGCAAAATTAACTGTGAAAGTTTAATGAATTTAAGTTTAAAAATAAATTGATAAGTTTACAAGATGTAACATGGAAATTTCGTCTGTTGATGGAGTGTTTGCATGGGCAGTGCAGTTGAAAGCACACTTGCCTTTGAATTTATGCATTCAAGTAAGTTATGAGGTCACCCTGCCCGACCACATGGGTTTTCCAATTTTTACTGCAGGTACTCCGGTTTCTTCCTACATTTAGACACTGCACGCTACCATCCAGGCAAACAAGAGTAATTAATATAAGTTGGGAAAACTTAATACATAATTGTTCTAAAAAGACAAAGTTTATTACTATTAATGAACTATATGAGTACTGTAATTGAACAAATCCTAGCTATACATGTATTAAGTGACTGGATTTAAACAATAGCCATATGGAAAGGCATAAAAATGATGACTACCATATTTGATGTAATTAGGACCCCTCATGTTGTATAAGTGCCTTTTCCCATTTTTTGATACATATTGGAATATAAGCACCCCCTTTTGCCAAACACACTCTCCACTCTGCTCCAGTTGGCAGACTACACTTACTTAACATTTTATGTCTGATACTTCAGTAATGCAATCTTAACAGCTTGCTAGTGTTTAGAAAAAGAGTAAACTATCATATTCAGGAATTTCCACTGGTAAAATGCCCAACAGTTACATTGCATAAACACACATGTTATGTAACTTATGTTTCGTTATCTTAATAAGCACCCCAGCCAATTTTCAAAACATATTGGGTGTTAAATATGGCATATACGGTACCTACTGTCTATTGGATCTACAAGATATCAATATCATCATCTTTTATAGAACTTTCAAATTCTAAATTCTTCTGGTAAACATTATAATAGGATAGGCCTTTAATGTCTTTCAATTGTCAATTTTGGATACTTACTAGGGTGTTTTATTCTAGCCTGTTAAATGTATGTATAGCCAGTAAAATTAACTCGACTGTGAAATGTCATTTTGAATTGAGATTGGTGAGGATTTCATGATTTAGACGTAATTGCTTGGGTTGGCAGCACATACATGTATATCTATAGTATAGTAGGCTAGTTCAGGCTTCAGCCACAGCAACAATTCGAGTCTTTATATAAAATTGGAGGTTCTTATATACCGCTTTATCACAACCTAGTTCGTAGGTCGTCTCAAAGCGGTCCACAAATTATTAACCGTGGTTATATAGGGCCTTTCAACAATTCTAGCACTGCCCAATCACATACTCATTTACAGCTGAGTAGACTGGAACATGCAGAGTAAAGTATCTTGCTCAAAGATACTACANAGTATCTTGCTCAAAGATACAACACAGTGCCGTGCCGTGACTCCAATCCGCAACCCTTCTGTCGGGAGCCTGGCGTCCTACCACTAGACCATCGCTTTAAACTTTCAGCTTCAAATTAAAACATATTTTAGATTATTATTATCAGAAATTTATCAAATATTATGATATAGGAGTCAAATTAGAGGTGTTTTTGATGGTGTGA